GGGAGGGATCAAGAGAGGAAAAGAGAGTGAGGAAGAGAGAGAGAGAGAAGAAGGCAATGAGAGAGGGAGAGGAAGAGAGGGAAATAAAGAGAGGGAGAGAAGGAGAGAGAGAGAGGTAGAAAGGTAGAGAGAGAGATGGAGATAAGGGTGAGGGAGAGAGGGTGGGGGAGAGAGAGGGAGAGAGAGAGAGAGGGAGAGAGAGAGATGGTGAGAGAGAGGGAGGGAGAGAGAGGGGGAGGGAGGGACATAAAAGGAGCTAGAGGGAGGGAGAGAGGGGAAGGGAGAAAAAGGGAGACAAAGAGAGGGAGACCGAAAAGGATAGAGTGAGAGAGAGAGAAATATAAACTGGGGGATTGGAGAGAGATAGAGGGAGGGAGGGAGGGAGGGAAAAGGAGGGAGTGAAAAAGGGAGAGAGAGAGGAAGGGAGTGAGAGGGAGAGAGAAAGGAGAAAAATAGAGAAAATGAGAGAAAAAAGAGAGAGAGAGGAGGAGAGAGAGGGAGGGAGGGAGGGAGTGACGGGGGGAGAGAGAGAGGAAAGGATCGAGAGGAAGAGAGAAAGGGAGAGAGATGGAGAGAGAGATGAGGGGAGAGAGAGGGGAAAGAGAGAGCGAATGAGAAAGGGAGGGAGAGAGAGGGAGAGAAAGAGAGAGAAGGAGATAGGGAAAGAAGGAGTGAGGGAGAGGGAGGGGATATGGATATAGAGGGAGTGAGGGGTAAGAGAGAGAGAGAAGGGGAAAGAGTGAGATAGAGGGAGGGAAAGAGAGAGATAGAGGGAAGAAAGAAAGAGAGGGAAAAAGGGAGAGAGAAAAGAATAGGGAATAGAAAGAGAGGGAGAGATAAAAAAATTGAGGGAGAAAGGGGGAGGGAGAGAGAATGGGAGGGAGGGAGAGGGTAAAAAAAGAGAGGGAGAGATAGGAGGAGAGGTAGAGAGGAGAGGAGAGATTAAAAGACTAGGAGAGAGAGGGAGCAAGAGCGATAGAGAGAGAAGGTGAGAAAGGGGGAGAGAGAGAGGGAAAAAGAAAGAGGGAGACATATAAGGGGAAAAAGAGGGAGAGAAGGGGATAGAGAGAGGGGATAAAAGGAGAGGGACAGAGAGAGGGAGAGTGGGAGAGAGAGGGAGAGGGAGAGTGATAGAGAGAATTAGAGAGGATAGAGAGGGAGAGATACCTAGAGAGAGAAGGAGAGAGATAAAGAGGGAGAGAAAGAGAGATAAAGAGAGAGGGAGAGATGAAAAAGGACAACAAGAGAAAGGAAATAGGGAAAGAGAGAAGGGAAGAGTGTGTGTGTGAGAGAGAAAAAGTTAAAGGAGAGAGGTAGAGAGAGGAAGAGGGGAAGGGAGAAGGAGAGAGAGGGAGAGAAAAGGAGAGAGAAGGAGAGGGAAAGGGGGAGAGGAGAGAGAGATGGCATGAGAGAGAAAGAGAGAGGAGAGGGAGTGCGAGTGAGAGTAAGAGGGAGGGAGAGAGAGGGACAAAGAGGAGGGAGAGAGGAAGTGAGAGATGGAGAGAGGGAATGATTAGGAGAGATGGAGAGAGAGGGAGAGAGAGAGGAAGATAGAGGGGAAGAGAGAGGGGGAGGAAGAGAAAGAGAAGGAGGAGGGAGAGGGAGATTAAGAGAAAAGAGAGATAGGGTAAGAGAAGGGAGGAGAGAGGGAGAGAGAAAAAAGAGTGAGTAAGGGAGCGGGAGAGAACGCGAGGGGGAGAAGGAGTTCATGAGTATGAGAAAGAGTGGGAAAGATAGAGGGAGAGGGAGAGAGAGGGAGGGAGAGAAGGAGAATAAAGGGAATAGGAGGAAGATAGTGACAGAGATATGTAGATAGAGAGAGAGTTGGAGAGAAGGAGAGGGAAGGGGAGGGAAAGAGGGAGAGGGAGTGGGAGGGAGAGAGGGAGAGGGAGAAGGAGAGAGAGAGGAGAGGGAGAGGTAGGGAGAGGGAGAGGGAGAGAGAGGTAGTTAGAGAGATTGGGACGAGATAGAGAGAGTGGGAGATAGCAAGAGATTAGTAAGTGGGGTGATTGGGACGGAAGGTAAGAGAAATTATAAATTAATTAAATACTAATAAAATGTCCACCGACACCCCAACCTAAAAATTACAATCAAAATAAACTTAGTTACATTTGTGTCACATATGAGCCCCTTTTTAGGAGGAACTAGCATCATCCTTGCTATGTTGACCCTTTCCTGTCATAACATGAAAATAACAACAAGGTGAGCCGAAACTTAGTAAGTAGGGTGATGCATGTAATATGTAGTGCTTTTCGAACTTTCCCACAATACTCATAGATTTTAATTCGAGTACCGTAGGTATTATAAAGTCTCCTCTATTGGTGATTACTTGAATCACCAAATGCTAACAACGAAATTATCCCTTGTTGTAGCCATCGTTAGCTAGAATCCATCGCCTAACAATGCAATCACACAAATTAGAGCACACACACATCCGGATCGCTAATACCCATTTATTCCAACTAGGTTGTAACCAATTCTTGATCAATTGACTTTTCTCAATCCACCCCATAATGCACGTGATGCACGTGATGTTACGTTTACCATTTTAAACATATCCAATCCATAAAGGATTCGATTTCATATATTTTTATACTTCCCATTTGTTTCCTTTAGTAAATCTCATCGTTAAATCATCCCACACTTGAATTGCATAGTTATTAGCATTGGGACTAATTTCAACACTTTAAGGTATAATTTTACCTTTTAGCCCAATTTTAACACTTTTAGGTTGAATTTAGTTCTTAAGTAAAATCTCATTTTCTTTGACAAGCATGCCTTTCTAATTTCAATTTTAATTCTTATTTGGACCTAATTGAACCATTAAGTATCAAATTAATTTAATGGAACCCAAAACCTCATTTTTTTAAGTTTGGGCCGAAAGGGTCTCCTAATTTTGCAAGAAATGTTCTTTGCTTTTATATGAAGTTTCCTTTTTGTTCAAAATTACTAATCAAACCTAATTTATTCACCATTAAAATTTAATTCCTTAAGTATCAAAAAGGTTCCATCTTTCCCATTTTGGCCAAAAGTCACCTTAGGTAAAACCCTAAAATTTAATTTTTCTTCCTTCCTATTTTACTTTGTCCATGTTAGTATCGATCCTAGTGTCGCAAGGCAATGTCGGTGGCGAGGGTAGCGAGTTGAGGTGAAAAGAGAGAAAATGGGAAAAAATAATTAGAGTCGCCACCTAGTATTACGGTTACTAGGAAACCTCATGACTGGTCCGTTTAGAGTTACGGTCTAAGGGGTTTATTATTTGTAAGGAAGATTAAAGATCACCCCACCCCATCCCGCTCGAGGCAAGCCTGGATTGCATACAAAACCGACTTGATTTTTGATTTTTAATGATGAAAGACTATACTTATTTTTCAAGCGATTGCCCACTAGTTAAGTGATTCGACACTTAGCTGGTCGGATACCTTATCCTCACTCTGTAATGGATGGCTAAAAAATGATGAATGCAAGGATGTGATACTAATGCAACTTAGACAACATGCATGAAAAAAAAAACTTAAAAATAATAGGCAAACAAACAAAACAGATAGATTAATGAAATCGACAAATAGGTAAATAGACGAAATTGGCAAAATTGGCAAAAATAGACAAACAAGCAAACAATGGAAAAATCAATAAATTAGAAAATAGGCAAATTGGATAATGAGAAGAATAAAAAAATTGACGAGATAGGCAATTAGGCAAAAATTGACAAATAGGTAAAATTGGCAAATTGGCAAAGATCGATAAATAGGCAAAGATTGGCAAAATCGGCAAATAGGCAAAAATTGACAAGTTGGAAAAAATCGATAATTTAGGCAATCATAGGCAAAAATCTACAATTAAGGAAAAGATAAATAAAAAATCAACAATTCGGACAATCATGGGCACAAATCGGCAATTAAGACAAAAATAATTAAAAATTGGCAATTTAGGTAATCATGGGAAAAAATTTGTAATTAAGACAAAAAAATAAGTAAAAATTGACAATTCATGCAATCATAAGCAAAAATATATAATTAAGGTAAAAATAAATAAAAATTGGCAATTTAGACAATTATAGGCAAAAGTCGATGATTTAGGCAAAAACTAGTAAAAATTGACAACTTAGGCAATCATAGGCAAAAATCGACAATTAAGGCAAAAACATGCTAAAATTAACGAGCTTAGGAAAAAATTGATAGCCTAGGTAAAAATAAATAAATATCGACGAACTTAGGCAAATATAGGCAAAAATAAAAAAACTTAAGCATATGTGGGCAAAACTTGACGAAAATTGACAATTGGACCAAAGTTGGAGAAAAGACAAAAATTGATGAAATTAATTACATAAAACAATCATCTAATTAATTACATAACACATATCAATATGAATTAAATTTAATACATGTTAAAATAAAAATAGAATAAAATAAAAGAAAAAGTAAAAAAAATTAATGTAAAGAAAACAAGTTGGACAAATTCTCTTGGCAATCTCGAAGTCATATCCGACCCTTGTCAACCCTAATAGAGACCAATACTCGTTCAACCGAGGAGGAAAGGTAGGTGAAAGCGATGGTTGCTAATATGGGCACCGGCGCTAGTGTTGGCGTTAGGGTTGGGTGCTAGACGCCGACGCCGGCGCTAGGCGTTGGGCACCGGGCTTGTTGGGCAAGGCCGAGGCTCTAGCGTGGGTGTTGGGCGAGGTGTGTGTTGGGCCCGTTGGGTGAGGTTGAGGCGCCGGCACTAGCACCGGTTGGCGGGCGTTGGTTGGTATGCGCCGGCGCTAGGTTTTGGTTCGCATGCGCCGGCGTTGGGTAGGTGCTTGGTTGGCGAGCACCGGCGTTAGGTAGAAGATGGTTGGCGAGCACTAGAGCTAGGTGTTAGGCCCTAGTTTGTAGGCGCTAAGGTGTTGGTGTTCGCCGGGGCACTCGGTAGACTTGTGCGAGGCATTTATGTTGGCGCTAACGCTCACTAGGGTTTTGGAAGGCCTATGAGTAAGGCGCTAGTGCTCGTTGGGAGGCATGCTAGAGTGCCTAGTATTCGTTGGAACATGCTATTTGGTGTGGGGGAAGAAGGATGGTGTGTGGAGGTGTGGGGGTGAAGAAGTGGCACCGGCGTGGTGGAAGAGGGGCCGAGAGAGGCTAGTGGAGTGGAGAGAGTCGGCCGACGCCGCTATGGGAGGAGGCGCCGAGGGTAGGGGTTGTTACTTGGTGGCATAGGGGTATTCTTGTGGATGGAGGTCGGCGGCTAGGGTTTTTTAGGGAGGGTCAACGGTAGCTAGTGTAAAAAACGAGCATGGGGGCTTTTTATATGTAGGGTTTTTTAGGCTGAGTTTGGTTTGATCCGTCATCTCACAAACTTGGTTCATTTTGATAACTTTTTCCTCTCTTTTTTCAATTGCATCCCCTAATTATATTTTTTAGTCCCTTTTTTTTTTTTTTTGCTTTTTTGTCATTTTGATAGGTGCTAACACCTACTTTAGTCCACCAAGTTTTGATCAAGCCCCAATTCTTTCAATCAAACCTTTTTATACATAAACATAGCCATGCACGAGGCTTTCCACACTTAATAAGCAACATATCAACCATTCCTTACATGTTCCATAACAACCAACAATTATATGCCAAGCTATCCAACACAATACCAACACAACACAACATGATCAATTGCATAAATTAACATTTAAGAATCAAATAGATGGCATAGATAAAAAACCACTTACTTAGTTTAGTTTTGTTAAGGATTTCCCTAACTTTTTCTTTCTTTTTCTCCTTTCTTTCTTTCCTTTCTTTTTCTCCCTTTCTTTTTTCGTGTTTCTCTCCCTCTCAATGACATTTTTTTCTTCTTCTTTTGGGTGAGCTATGGATTTCACAAAAAATGCAGCCATGTAATCTCTTTCCTTGTATATATACATGCTCCATTTTCCTTGCATTTTAATTAGTTTACATGTGTCTTGATTTAATTTATCAAGTGTAAAGTAAATGGTGACTAAGAGGGACAAGTGGCTGGTTTGGCTTAGTCAAAGGAATGAGTTGGCTTCCATTGAATTAAATGAAGGCTTAGGTGTCTAATTATTTGCTAAAGATGGTGGTTAGGCTAACTAAGTCCCTTAAGCTAGTTTAGTTCAAGTAACATGACATTTCTTTTCTAGAAATATTTGGCAATTTCCTTCCCAATAATTCGACAATTTTCTTCTAAATTTTTTTCAACATTCCCCATATTTTAAAATACCTTTCTCACTTGTATAATAGGTTCCATATATATACTAGAGAAAATGAACGATAATTAGCTAAATTACCTGAAAATTCATCTCCTAATTCCTCACATAAACACAAAGCATAATAATATTACCAAAACATTAAAATGGCACATAAATCACACCCTTGCTTAATGTATGTACGTATAAATATCCTTGTACGTATATTGATATGGTTAAGGACTTTACGGGGGTTATAGAGAGAGATGGAGAGAGGGAGAGAGAGAGGTAAAGAGAAAAAGAGAGAGAAAGAGAGGAAGGGAGATAGAGAGTAAGAGAGAGATAGAGAGAAAAAGGGAGTGAGAGTGAGAGAGATAGGGGAGAGAGAGTAAGAATAAGAGAGGCAAGGAGAGAGATGGGGAGGTAGAGAAAGGGAAATAGAGGGGAGAGGAAGAGGGAGAGGGAGAGGGGGAATAATTGGAGTGTGAGAAAGTGAGAGATATGGAGATAGGTATAGGTAGGGAAAGAGGGAGAGAAAGACAAATGAAGAGAGAAGGAGGGGGATAAAAAGAAAGAGAGAGAGCGAGGGAGAAAGAAGGAAAGGGAGTGGGAGGGAGAGATTTATGGATTGAATAAAGAGAGGGGTAAAGGGGGATTAGGCGAGAGAGAGAGAAAGGAAGAGAGGGAGGGAGAAGGATTAAGAGAGAGAGTAGGAAAGGGAGAGATAGGATGATAAAATGAGAGAGAGAAGGAAAGAGAGAGGGAAAGGAAGCTAGAGAGTGAGAGGTAGAGAGAAAAGTAGGAGAGAGAGTGAGAGAGAGAGAGAAGGGAGAGTGAGAGAGAGAGGGAAGGAGAGAGAGAGTGAGAGAAGGAGTGAGGGAGGGAGAGAAGGAGAGAGAGAGAAGGGGAGAGAGAGAGAATGAGAGAGTTAGTGAGAGATAGAGGTTAAGATAGAGAGATATAGAGGGATATAGAGAGGGAGAGAGAGAAGGAGGGAGATGGAAAGAGAGTGGAAGAGTGAGAGAGAAATAGAGGGAGAGGTAATGGGAGAGTGAGAGAGAGGGAAAAAGACAAAAGGAGAGAGGGAGAGCAAGAGAAAGGCGGAGAGAGGGATAAAGGTAGAAGGGGAAAGAGGGTGAGAGATGGATAAAGAGGGAGAGGGAGAGGGAGAAAAAGGGTAGAAGAGAGAGAGAATGAGAGAGTTTGAGAGACAAAGAGGGGGAGGGAGAGAGGGAGGGAGATAGAGAGAGTAGGGGAGAGATAGGGAGAGAAAGTGAGAGGGAGAGAGAGAGAAGGGAAGAGAGGGAGAATGGAGAAAGAGGGAGAGAGGTTAAAAGAGAAAGGAAGAGAGGGAAAGGGAGAAGGAGAGAGAAGAGAGAGAGAGGGAGAGAGAAGGACGGAGAAGGAGAGAGAGAGTGAGAGGGTAAAGGAGAGAAGAAACGAGTAAGAGAAAGTGAGCGAGAGAGTGAGAGGGAGAGAGAGAGGTAGAGAGGGAAAGAAAGAGAAAGATGGAAAAAAGGGAGGGAGATAGGGATAAAGGGATTGAGAGAGAGGAGAGAGAGTGAGAGGGAGAAAGAGGAAGAGAAAGGGAGAGAGAGAGAGAGGAAGGGAGAGTGGGGGTTAGAGAGAGATAGAGAGAGTGAGAGAGAGTTGGAGAGACAAATAGGGATAGAGAGGGAGGGAGGGAGAGAGAGAAAGAGAGAGAGAGAGAGTAAGGGTGAGAGAGAGAAATGGAAGGAGATAGAGGGAGAGGAAAAGAGATGACAATAGAGGGAAGAGAGAGAAATAGAGAGAAAGAGAGAGAAGGAGAGTGAGATAGGACAAACGATGAGAGAGAGGGAGATAGGGAGAGAGAGTGAGATAGGGAGAGAGAGAAGTAGAGGGAGGGAGAGCAAGAGAGATAGGGAGAGGGAGTGAGGGGAGAGAGAGGTAGAGAGAATGAGGGAAAAAGAGGGAGATATATTTATATAGGGAGAGAGAAAAAAAGAGGAAGAGAGAGAGAAAGAGAGGGAGAGGGAGAGAGAGGTAGGGATAGGGATAGTGATATGGAGAGGCGGGGAAGGAGAGCGAGAGAGAGAGTGTGGGAGAGAGTGGAAGAAAGAGAAGGGGAGAGAGGGAGGAGAGATAGAGATTGAGAGTGAGAGGGAGAGATAAAAAGTGAGAGAGGGATAGAGAGGGGAGAGTGGGAGGGGTGAAAGAGAGGGAAAGAGAGACGAAGAGAGTGGGAGGGAAAGAGAGGGAAAGATAGGGGAGCGAGAGTGAGAGGGAGGGTGGGAGAGGGAGTGAAAGAGAGGGAGAGAGAGGAAGTGAGAGGGAAAGTGGAGTGAGAGAGAGGGAGAAAAAGATAGGGGTAGAGAGGGAATGAAAGATGGAAAGAGAGAGAGCATGCGGAATAACAAAAGAGAGGAAGAGGGAAAGGGATAAAGTGAGAGAGAGAGAGCTAGAGAGGGAGAGAGAGTAGGAGAGAGAGAGCATGCGGAATAACAAAAGAGAGGAAGAGGGAAAGGGATAAAGTGAGAGAGAGAGAGCTAGAGAGGGAGAGAGAGTAGGAGAGAGAGAGCAAGAGAGAGGGAGAGAGAACATAAGGGGGAGAGAGAGGGATGGAGAGAGGGAGAGAGAGGGGAAAGGGAGAGAGAGTAGGGGAGAGAGAGCAAGAGAGAGGGAGAGAGAACATAAGGGGGAGAGAGAGCAAGAGAGAGGGAGAGAGAACATAAGGGGGAGAGAGAGGGATGGAGAGAGGGAGAGAGAGGGGGAAAGGGAGAGAGAGGAAAAGAGAGGGAGAGAGAGAGGGGGAGAGAGTGGGAGATGGAGAGAGAGGGAGGGATAGTGGGAAAGTGTAACCCCTGTAAAAAAATCCTTAATCGTAAAGCAACACGTATTAGAATATTTATATATATGCATTTATTAAGTGTAAGTATAATTCTCATCATACCATGAGAAATTAGTGCTTGAAATGTGTGATTTATGTTAAATTAAAGTTATTGTGCTTGAGATTAATGGTTTAATTATTAAAGAAATCAAATATGCAAAATCAGTGTTTTGAGGACTATATTCTGTCCGAATTTGTGTGATTTATTCGAGGACTTTAGATTGATTTCTGAGTAAAACGTAAAGAATAAAAGTTGTTCATCTATGTGCCTAATAGCTCTCTGTAACATTTAATAATTTTCAGATATATGTATAAAGATTTATGACCATTTTAGTACTGACTACTTGAGAGGCATCACTGCTGGAATATTTTTGGGGCAAGGAATTCCGAGTTTAAGGTGAGGAATTTTCAAAAATTGTGAGAGGCAGGGATGTTTAGTTACTTGAAATATATTATTTAGGGTGTTTAGCGAGTCTAATAAATTAGTTAGGACACATAAGCCTCCTTAATTAATGAATTAAGGCCAGCTCACCCTAAACCCATCAAACCCGCCACTCTCTCTCTCTTGACTCACCAATAGCTTTCCACTCTCCTAAATTAAATTAAGACATTTGTACACTTAATTAGAATAAGATTTTAAGCATGTATATATATATATATAGACTAAGTGAGAATGGAAGAAAATTTTAGGCAGCCCATAGCTACACAAAAGGGAGAGAAAAATGGTAAGGAAAGAGAGGGAGAGAAAAACGGTAAGGAAAGAGAGGAAGAAGAAAGAAAAAAGAAGAAGGGGAAAGCCTAAAAAACCTTTAGGAAATTCAAGAAAAGTAAGTAGGTTCCATTTATAGTTATTTTATGTGTTAAGTTATCTTTTTTTTTAATTGTTTATTTCATGCGTTTGTAATAATTTTCAATGGTTTGCTATGGTTGTTTGTGTTGGTGTTAGGGTTTGGAAAATTGTGATGGATCTATGTGTTTGTGTTGTGATGCAAAGTTTGTTTGATGTGTTTAAATATGTGTATGGTTTGGAAAGAAAAACAAAAGAGAAGGGTGTGGACCGAATTGGTTAGAGCCAAACTAGATTTGGTGAGCATGCCTTTGGAAAGGAAAGGAATGCACTTCTAGAGT